ATAAATAAAAATCTAATTTAAATCACAGTTTTCTTAAAAAAATAGTTTTCTAGTTATTTACACTTTTGAACCTGTATTTTGGTGCATTTTATTTATTCTGCCGAAAACATGATTAATAGGCAAGAAACCACCTATTTTACATAGGCACCAAACTATACCTATCATTCTAATCTGCTTTTTAAAAAATTAACAGTTTATCTTGGTGGTATTCCCAAGTTGTTACACACATAGATTTAACTTTTTCCTTTTCACTGTCCATAATAAATATTAATAATTGTAGATACACTATTTCTATTTAGCTCATTCCCTAATCGATGAACTTTTTTAGGGTATTTTCAGTTTTTCATTTGTATACTCTTATAATCCATATCCTTCTACTTGCCTTTGCACACAAGGCTAGTGGGTCTCTAAAGTAGATATCAAGAATTGCTAGCCTTCTGATGATTCTGCTGCTGCCTTCCAAAAACTGTCGTGCTATTTATTTAGTATTACCCTTTTCCCCTCTACTGCAACACTTGATTCTTAGCACATTTTAATGTTTTTAGTTTGCATGTTCTGTGATTACTGTTGGGATCAAGCATTTTTGTACAGGTCTATGAGTTATTTGCCTTTTTTTTTTTTTCTATTTTTTCCAGAGCTCAGTGGATGTTTTATATTTGGTTCTTTAATCGTAGCATACTTTTGTGAGTGATGTCAGCTAGACATCTAACCTTATTACTTTTTTGAAGTAAATAGCCAACGTAAAAAGAAAGATAAAAAGAATAGATTTGTAGCTCTTGCCATCATCTACTTAATAACCCAAGCAAATCAATTGAAAACTATTAGTACTATTAAGAGAGTTCTGCAGAGATGATGGGAATCAAAGTCAACTTTTAATGGATTTAAAAGCTTTTCTTTAAAACACCAGCAATAATCTTTCAGAAAGTATAATAGGAAAACAGACGGTATTCATAATAAAAACTATAAAGTACCTAAAAGTCCACCTAACAGGAAATGTGTAATGATAAAATGGGACTTGCCTGACTATTTAGCAAACATGTTTATCACACTATTATAATGAAAATAGTGGATATATTGGTCAGGTATAAACAGATTAGTGAGACAGAATATAGTCTAGAAATTCCTGTAATAATATAGTAAACGATAATGGTAGCATTTCAAATCCAAAGAATGGGCTGTTCAAAGATCTTTTTAGTGTTCAGTGATACTAGATTCAAAACTGATTTCAGTGTAGGTGCTAGGCTCACCTAGAATTTCTATTTGTTACTAAAAAATAAAAAACTATAAAAGAGTAATGTTGATATATAACACCATAAAAGCATAATAACATCCGAGGACTTTTTGTTCATGCTGTATCTTCTGCCTGGAACTATTTTCAACCTACTGCTCAACCACTGCTTTTACCTACCTAATTCATAATTTCAGACCTCAGCTCAGTTATGGAATAGATATTCAAATGTTTACACTCAGATTTTTCTAACCCCAAACTTAGACTTCTATAGGTAAGTTGTGGGTTACATCTAAATTTAATCATATTTTAAATATTTTGAACTTCTACATAAGAATTAGGATTACTTTTAACTGTTAATGTTAATTTACTGTTTTCTTGTTAGTGATGCGGAGTCCCTCCCCCACCTTTGTTGTATAAATGGTGAGATTGATTTACTTTATTAGGAAGTCTATAGAGAAGCTGTTGCTACCCAAAGGGCTTCTAAGAAGTGACTTTGCATGGTTGCTTAGCTACTGCTAGTTAAATAAACATCTTAGGGGCGCCTGGGTGTCTCAGTCATTAAGCGTCTGCCTTCAGCTCAGGTCATGGTCCCAGGGTCCTGGGATCGAGCCCCGCATCAGGCTCTCTGCTCAGCGGGAAGCCTGCTTCTCCCTCTCCCTCTCCCCCTGTTTGTGTTCCCTCTCTCACTGTGTCTCTCTCTGTCAAATAAATAAATAAAATCTTTTAAAAAATTAAAAAATAAATAAACATCCTAGATGTTTTGCTCTGAAGATTTTCCAGATAGAAGGTTGGCAATCGAAGTTCTTTTTCTAGCTTTTCTAGCATTTTTTTCCTTTTTCGTTTTTTTTAGAAGAATGATTACAAAGCAGTGAACAGAATAAAATAATAATGACCAATGAATTTTTATCTACTATTATTATCATAAAGTGACACAGTACTGTTTAAATTTTAGATAAGTATCTAAGGATTTATATCAGCAGCTCTTAGCAGTAGTAGAAAAGTTTTCATGGGAGCCAGAATTGTTTACCATGGTAGTATGGAATAATGGAAAGGGGTGTTTGCTCTAAAGCAAACCTACCTAGCTTTAAATCCTCAGGCTGCCACTTAAGCTGTAGAAGCTTTAAGCAAGTAGCAACCTCTTAGCATTTCTTAACCTCTAAAATGGGAATAGTAATTCCCTTGTGAAAGTGTTGTTTTAAAATAATGTATGTAAGTCATGTAGTGCAATGTTTACCACCTATTAGCCCCTCAAATTGTTGGTAATGATGTGACATTGCCCCTGTTGCCCTTACCTCATATTAGATATGGTACTTTAAATATTCCCCTCCATGCTTTGTATTCTAGGCAAATAGATAGATTTGATTCCTGCTCTCACTCTGGCATTACCTGGAACAAATTCAACCCCTCTATATATCAGTGATGCTACCGTTTTTTAAGACGAGGGATTAAGTTTCTTTCCTGCTCTAAAATGTTATGTTTCATTTTCTTCGCCCTTCCCTTAAGGCTAGAATAAAATACTGGCTAGGAATTTCTTAGAGAACAGGATGTTTTCCTGGGGTTTTTTGTTGTTGTTGTTGTTGTTTAAGATTTTATTTATTCATTTGACAGAGAGAGAGACAGCGAGAGAGGGAACACAAGCAAGGGGAGTGTGAGAGGGGAGGCAGGCTTCCCGCTGAGCAGGGAGCCCCATGCGGGGCTTGACCCCAGGACCCTGGGATCATGACCTGAGCTGAAGGCAGCCGCTTTAACAACTGAGCCACCCAGGCGCCCCGGATGTTTTCCTGTTAATAACATAAATATATTGGTATAAATCCTCCTTGAAGAAATGATATGAAAATTAAAATTACTCAACATGAGCCCTTTTCCTTTAGCATTCATCTTATTTTGTAAAATTTAAGATTTCTCGGGGTATCTGGGTGGTTCATTAGGTTAAGCATCTGCCTTCGGCTCAGGTCATGATCTCAGGGTCCTGGTATCAAGCCCCACATCAGGCTCTCTGCTTGGTGGACAGTCTCCTACTACCTCTCCCTCTGATCCTCCTCCCTGCTTGTGCTCTCTCTCTGTCTCAAATAATAAAATCTTAAAAAAAAAATTAAGATTTCTCACAATATTGAAGATTTTCTACCATGTCACTGTTAAATTTCAGAACTTTGGTAGCCTTTTGCAGCAAGGATGGCACAGTAAAATGTATTATAAATAACACACTTACATAAGACGAGGGCAAGCCCTTTTATGAAGGCTACTTCATGTCCTTGGATTTATCATATTGTCATTCATTCAGCAAATACGTGCTTTAGTATCCACTAGTATCTAGTAGATACAAGTATACAAAGAAATGATTAAGGCCAACAATCTCCTTCAAGTTTAATTCAACTCCTAAGGAACAACATCTGTATTTTTAAACTATTCTCAGAATAGTTACCTTAAAGAGGGGAAGAAACCAAATCTGTATTTAGACTACTATTCTGAAGGTGATCATCTTTTCTCAGATGTTCAGAAACTTGATACTGTTCCTTATTATGGTGGCTGGGAGACTCTTGCATAGCAGAGAGTCCTTAAATTTGTAATACCAAGGACATTAAATAGTAATGGGTGAAAACATATTATTCCAGCATTAATCTTAAAATAGCATTGTTATATTTTCAGGAAACTACTAAAGTTCCTGTGGAAGTAAAGTAGAATTTCATAAGAACATAATGGGTAAGTTATATAAAAGTAATTTTATATTTCAACTAGTAGAAGCTGGTTTTTCTTCTCAAAGATAGGCCTTTGACATTGGTGAATGCACATAAAAAAAATGATCAGAGTAGACTAAAATTAGTTGTTTAAATCCACAGCATCTGTTTACTATGGCACACCTCAGAGATATTGTGGGTTTGGTTCCAGACCACAGCAATAGAGCAAGTCAATGAATTTTTTGGTTTCCTCATGCTTATAAAAGTTGTGTTTATACTGTACTGTAGTCTATTAAGTATATATAATACCTTAACTTAAAAATCATTTATTGCTTAAAAAAAAATGCCAATAATCTGAGCTTTTGGTGAGTCATCACTGATCACAGCTCACCATAACAAAAAACAGTAATAATGAAAAAGTTTGAAATATTATGAGAATTACAAAAATGTGACACAGATACACAAAGTGAGCAAATGCTGTTGAAAAATGGCACCAACAGACTTGCTCAATGCAGGGTTGCCACATACCTTCAATTTGTAAAAACTGCAAAGCACAATAAAACAAGGTATGCCTGTATGTATTTTTGAAAGGTAGATAAGTAATGTTTTTGTGCCAAGTATAATTTGTGATTGCTCGTAAGTAATAGCAACTAAAGAAATTAGAAACTTTCCCAAAAAACATATAAAGTGCTTTAATTCGCAAAAAAATGCAAGAATTATAAATTTAATTGACAATTGTTTTTATTTTCTAAGAGATTGGCAAAACCTGCTAAATATTTATATGCTTGAGTAGTCTATAATTTACAAGTTATTTGCATCTTTATGAGTCCCCCAGCTTTTTCTTATGAAAAATTGCAAGAATGATACACTATGTAGCCTTCAGTGATTGTTAATGTTTTGCCACATTTGCTTTCCTTGTGTTTATTGGTGTATGGGTATTGTTTATATACCCATATACACACACATGGGTATTTTTCTGTACCATTTATTTAGTTGTATAGTATCACCTCACATCTAAATACTGGAGTAGGCATCTCCTAACTTGGTCCATATTCAGAATTTCCCAGTTGTTTCAGTAGTGTTCTTTATTGCAGGTATGTTATAGACATACCTTGTTTTATTGTGCTTCATATTGCACTTCACAGATATTGCGTGTTTTGTTTTGTTTTTTTTAACAAATTGAAGTTTTGTGGCCACCCTGTGTGGACCAAGTCTATTGGTGCCATTTTTCCAACTGCAGTTGCTCATTTCATGTCTCTCACATTTTGGTAATTCTCACAATATTTCACTTTTCCATTATTATTATTATATTTGTTATGGTGTCAGTGATCTTTGATGTTACTATTGTAATTGTTGTGAGATGCCATGAACCATGCCCACATAAGACAGGGAACTTAATCGATACATGTTGTGTGTGTTCTGACTGCCGCACCGACCAGCTCTTCCCTCATCTCTCTCTCTCTCCTCAGACCTCCCTATTCCCTGAGACACAAAAATTGAAATTAGGCTAATTAATAACCCTACAATGACCTCCAAGTATTCAAGTGAAAGGAAGTATTGTACCTCTCTCACTTTCAATCAACAGCAAGAGATGATTAAGCTTAGTGAGGAAAGCATGTCAAAAGCTGAGACAGGCCGAAAGCTATGCCTCTTGTGCCAAACAGTTAGCCAAGATGTGAATACAAAAGAAAAGTTCTTCAAGGAAATTAAAAGCGTTACTCCGGTGAACATGAATAATAAAAAAGTGAAACAGACTTATCGCTGATGGAGAAAGTCTGAGTGGTCTGGATAGAAGATCAAACCAGCCATACCAGTCCCTTAAACCAAAGCCTAATCCAGAGCGATGCCCTGACTCTTCAATTCTGTGAAGGCTGAGAGAGGTGAGGAAGCTGTAAAAGAAAAGTCTGAAGCTAGCAGAAGCTGGCTCATGAGGTTAAAGGTAAAGCAGCAAGTGCTGATGTAGAATCTACAGCAAGTTACCCAGACCCAGCTAAGGTAATTAATGAGGGTGGCTATACTAAACAGATCCTCAGTGGAGATGGAACACCTCATATTGGAAAAAGATGCCATCCAGGACTTTGATAGCTAGAGAGGAGAAATCAGCACCTGGCTTAAAAGCTTCAAAGGACAGGCTAACTCTTGTCAGGAACTAACGCAGCTGGTTATTTTCAGTAGAAGCCAGTGCTCACTGAACATTGCAAAAATCCTAGAGCCTTTCAGAATTATGCTAAATCTACTCTGCTTGTGCTTTATAAATGGAACAAAGCCTGGATGACAGCACATCTATTTACAACATGGTTTACTGAATATTTTAAGCCTACTCTTGTTACTTTAGAAGTACATCTCGTAAGGTACAGCTGCCACAGATAGTGATTCTTCGGATGCATCTGGTTAAAGTAAACTGAAAACCTGTAATTCACCATTCTAGACGCCATTAAGAATACATGTGATTCATGGGAAGAGGTCAAAATATCAACATTAATAGCAGTGTGGAAGAAGTTGATTCCAACCCTCATGGATGACTTTAAGAGGTTCAGGACTTCAGTGGAGGAAGTAAATGTAGATGTGGTAGAAATAGCAACAATTAGAATTGGGAGTGGAGCCTCAAGATGTGACCGAATTGCTACAATTTCATGATAAAACTTGAATAGATGAGTTGAATCTTATGGATGAGCAACGAAAGTGGTTTCTTGAGATGGAATCCACTCTTGATAAAGATGCTGTGATAATTGTTGAAATGACAACAAAAGAATTAGAATATTATGTAAATTTAGTTGATAAAGCAGTGGCAGGGATTGAGAAGATGGACTCCAATTTTGAAGGAAGTTCTGCTGTGGATCAGATGCTGTCAAACAGAATCGCGTGCTACAGAGAAATCATTCCTAAAAGGAAGAGTCAGTCAATGCAGCAAACTTCACTGTTGTCTTATTTTAAGAAAATGGCACAGCCACCTCAGCCTTCAGCAACCGCAGCCCTGATCAGTGACCCATCAGCATCAAGGCAAGACCCTCCACCAGCAAAAAGATTACTACTCACTGAAAACTCAGACAGTGGTTAGCATTTTTTAGCAATAAAGTATTTTTAATTAAGGTATAAACATTTTTCTTTTAGACATAATGATACTGCACACTTAATAAACTATAATATGCTGTAAACAAAACTTTTATATTCACTGGGAAACCAGAAAATGGATTTGACTCACTTTTGCATTATTTGCTTTATTGTCGTGGTCTAGAACTGAACCCACAGTATCTCCAAGGTATCCCTGTGTTTTATATCCAGGATCCAATCAAGGATCACTTACTGCATTAATCTGTCTCTTTAGTCTCCTTTAAATAGTTCCCTTCTTTTGGGGGCATGAGGAGTGAAGTCTTTCATGACACTTTAAAATTTAGATTTATCTGAGTGTTTACTCCTGATTAGATTCAGATTAGACATTTTGGGCAGCAACAGTACATAAGTGATTTTTATATTTATTAATCTTATTTGAGGGATTTTTAAATTATTAACAAATGAATAAACCAATGGATATTTGTAGCTTGAATACTTCAGCTTTATCCTCTGTACTCCTTTTTGTAGGGCTTCCTAAGTTTTTAGAATAAGCCTTAAGACACTTTCTTTCAGATATTGGTAACCATAAAAATTAAAGTTTTGTCAGTACAACACTGTGAAAGTTATAGGTGTTAGAAAGCTCTTAAAGGGCTATACAAAAAATGTATACTCCCAAGAAGGTTACATGGAGCTAGCTACTGTCGCTGAAGCCGGCGCCGTGGCAGTGAGGGGGCTGGCCGTAGGGGCATAGCTGCCCTGTCTCCTTACCTCTGCTTTGGATTTCAAAGGCTGCTGTTTGTCTGTATTCATCACTTCAGTCATGTAATAATTTAAACTCAGAAATAAAATGTTTTGATCATTATTTTTATGGATCAAGAGTAAAGATACTAAGTAAAAAGGAGCCCTAACTTTTAGAAGTAGGAGCTTGTCAGAGAAGGTGAAATCATACGACATACATTCTTTTGTAAATGCACACAGTGCATCTTATGTTAACATTGAGTATTTCCAATGATTTAATTTAAAGTTTTACTATTTGATAATTTTGTTTGAGCTTTCAAAGTTGAATGTGTTGCTGTGTTCACAAAAAAAATTGTTAATACTTCCATGAAAAATACTGGTAAATTTACATCTAAAGTAACAGCCTTGAATGTAGTTTATTCTGACATTGGAAAACGTTCAGAGAATAATAAAACAAGGAGTTAAAAAACCTTAAAATCTTGTAGATGTGGGTGCCTGGGTGGCTCAGTTGGTTGGGCGGCTGCCTTCGGCTCGGGTCATGATCCTGGAGTCCCAGGATCGAGTCCCGCATCGGGCTCCCTGCTCGGCAGGGAGTCTGCTTCTCCCTCT